GGCGTATAAGCCCAGTGAAATAGTTCAGTTTTCTTTGCTATAAAAATCACCTTTCCCGTGGGTATATTTTGGTAAACTTTTTGTATGTTTTAGATATAAAATTTAACTATATATATTCATAAAAAAACGTTTTGTTGCAATTATGTCCAACTTTGGTGCTTCAAATCCGTATTTCTGGTGGACTAATACGCTTCCAGCAGAGCAGTTGTGCAATAAATTTAAAGCGTTTGATTTTAACACATTAAATATCTTTATAATGAACAATGTTCCCCTGATTAGATTTTTTCGGACTTTTAGTATGTTATTACAGTATTTGTATATTTCAGGAACGGATTCTGTAAAATATTTATGTTACTTCTGTGTTCATTATAATTCTATCTAAAGATTGATTGGTTTGACTATAAAGCTAAGTCAGCGTAAAACTGAAAAATACTCAGATTTTGGATTGATTTTTCGAACCCTAAAATGACTTAATTTATTATAATCTTCAATCATTTATTAATTAATATCTGTTAAAATTAGAATTTGTGAATTTTGGCCAATTTATGAAAATTGAAGTTGAAATATACTATACTTTTAAAGGTCATGTAAATGTTCCATTAAATTCGAAACTTTGTTTTGGTGGAAAATATTAATATGTTTCATATTTTATGAGAGATAAATATATCAGCTTCAAAATGGAAACGATTGCGCAGCCATAGTGATTGACTGTATGTAGTGCGCATTGAGAAAAAAATGTGCTCTCCATTTTGCAACGTTCAATTTTTTGGTAAACTATGCCTGCTGAAAATTTGATGGCGGGGAACACATCGGACTTCAAAGGCATCGCGCAAACGTTCTTCGCGCACTGCGGCAGCTTTGATCTTGGTTCATTTGCATAGCGCTGCATGCGCGTAGCTTTTTCGAGTGATCTCCTTCTCAATAATACCATGCTCCAACCAAGGACAAATCTACTGTACCCTGTGTTAAAGTATACATAATAATACTGTAAAGCACTAAAAATCAAGGGCCGATTCAGCTTATTGTGAAAGGGTGGTGGGGCCGGGACGCACTGTTAGAAGGGCATTTTCCAGTTGGAAACCCACTTGCTATAAGTCTATAAGTCTGCCTGAAGTGCGATGGAGTCCTCATTAGTTTTAATGATTTTATAAATCTGAGGTCCATCAGCAAACATGAGGTAGTTGGAAGACTTGTCACTTGGTATATCGTTATTAAATTTTTTAAACAGCAGGAGGCAAGGATGGAACCTTGGGGTACGCCAGATACATCTGTAAGGGACTGAATGGGGGAATCTTCGCATACTGCCCTCTGCAGTACTCTACCACCTAAAGCCCCATTCCCGGCAAAATTTCAGTTTTTAAGAAAAATCTAATTTTTGTATAATGTTATAAAGATTTATAAATATAATACGGAATTGCTAGTTTTCATGTTTGATTTTGCGATAGGTCGTGAGAAGAAATATCGTAGGCGCCGAAAACATTAGCCTATCCAACGCTGCTAGGCTAGTTTTTAGTGAAATTTTTTAGAAAATATGCATTTGCATTACTCCAATTATTATAAATCATGGAAAAATATTGGCATGAATTTTAGTTTTACGCAAAACAATAAAAAAAAAAAGAGAAATACAGACTATTTCTCATAAAATATTACCATTTTCTCGACGAATTCATCGTTACTAGGCAAATTTAACAAATTTGAAATAATTCCTATGAAATATTATATTTCACAAGTGTCAATACTAGCAACGGAAAATATCATGTCGGCCGTTTTTATGTGTGATAACAGAACCTAAACCGAGGTAAGGATAGGCCTAGCCTAGCAGCGTTGGATAGGCTAATGTTTTCGGCGCCTACGATATTTCTTCTCACGACCTATCGCAAAATCAAAATGAAAAATTCATTTTTTCCATTCTTAGGAATGTCTAAATTCAGTTAAACTAGCAATTCCGTATTATATTTATAAATCTTTATAACATTATACAAAAATTAGATTTTTCTTAAAAACTGAAATTTTGCCGGGAATGGGGCTTTAATTTAAGTATCTCTCAAACAATTTATAGGGGAAGGTGTAAACTTGATTGTTGACTGTGTTGGAGAAGCACATTTGGAACACATGAGGTATAAACCAATACATATAAACCACGAGCTCCTTGGTAGTTTTGCTTAGTAATTTTATTCATTGTACAATATTTCGATATTATGTATATTTGTTTTTAGTTTTATATGTACTTTGTTTTACGAAATAAAGAATATATGAATGAATACTGTAATATATAACTGGTGCCAAATTGATATAATTGAAAAGTAAAGAACAATTTATCGAATGCTTTACTAAAAGCTAAGTATGTGATATCACATTACCTTTAGTTTCGGTGACTTCATACGAGGTAAACATACCGTATTTTCGAATAAACGCTCGGGGTGTTTATTGTTGAGTAGGGTTTTGAAGGGGAGTTTATTCGAGGGAGGCGTTTGTTTGGCTGTAAAATGGATACAGTATATACTCAAATAAACACCCCTTAATTTCACTGTAAATGTGGAACTACAACACATAAATACCGTCAAATGGATTATTGGGTGATCATAAAGTCTTATTGATCACAGCCAGGTTAGAAACAATTAATTCTACCGGAGTATAATATTAATAGATGGAAGACCTCGAAAAATAACTGTAATCAGGAAATTGTTAATAGATGTGCTTGTAATAAATGTAAACATATTAATCATTTTCTAAACATACCAGATATCAATATGGCAATTGGAAATTAAAAAAAGTTAAAATCTGATGGATATATTGATATAAAATCTGACCATATTTTAAATCAGGGGTGGGCATAAAAATAGGTCGGAGGGCCAAATTGAAATTTTGATTTAACACCGAGGGCCGCATCCAAATGTTGATAGTTCCATTGTGCTTCCAAAAACCTTCATTCACTGCTTTTATACCATTTTAGTCTGAATTTTAATATTAATTTTTACAGATGATGGGTGTCGGGCCGTAAAAAACAAGGTGTTTTATAGCCAATGATGGTTGGCGGACCGCACACACAGGGTTTTTAATTCGTTTTCGCGGGCCGCAAGAAAAATTACCATCGGGCCGCATTCGCCAGAGGGCCGCACTTTGCCCACCTGTGTTTTAAATGCTGGCGATAATATTAAGGTTTATTTAATTTCAGGGGCGGATCCAGCCTGCCAGAAAAGGGGGGGGGGAGTGGCGCAATCTTCGAGCGAAGCGAGCAGCCTTAGGCTGGGGACCAGGGGGACGCTTAGGGCCCCGGGCGGGGTCCAGGGGCAGAGCCCCGAGGGGGTGCAAGGGGGCGAAGCCCCCTTGAAGCCCAGCTCATTTGAGGAATATGAGGTTGTATTGAGTCGATTTTGGCTATCTAGCATGGTAGTTTTCAGTAACAAATAAATAAAACAAAATAGGTGTATGTCTTTTAAAAGAAATTTTAATATACAAGGTACCTGCAATATGCAACTATGAAATGTGTCATTAAATTAATAACAATTCATCTGCTCACAGCTGTGGGTTTTAGTGCCTCTTCTACGAACATCTCAAACATAATCTTTGACAAAGGCTCATAAATGTACACCATTTCAAAAGAGAAATTTCACTTCTAGAAAACATGATAAAGTTTCTCAGCAACATCGAGCATAAAAATCACAAAAACAGCAAAAAGGAAAACTAATATCCAAAATCCGTTAAAAAAAGTCGTCAAACAACAAAATCCGCTACTGTATATTAACATCGAGTAAATAACTGTTCTATTTCCCACCAAGTGGATTTTTTCCCCTTTTTTTTGCAAAGAGTACAGTACCTGGTTTAATCATCATTGTGTAATTTACAAGATATACTGTATGAAATTGTATAATTCTGTTGTCTCTAATCGAAATGGAACAAAGTAGGCCTACCTAAACCTAGGGCCTAGACCTTTTACCAGTGGCGGATTGGGGGGGGGGGGTTTCGTACGCCCCTTCCCACCCCCTAAATCACAATGATGATTAAACCAGGTACTGTACTTGAAAACCATAAGGAAGTAAAACTTAAACAACACAAGTGTCAAATGTTGTCTACACAAAAACTGTACTTTATTAAAAGAGTATAGTCTACTGAAGGGATGTCGTCAATGGAGATGTGCACACATGATTATCAGCGTTGTCTTATAAACGCTGATACACTGAGACGCTGATACACTGGGACGTTGATACGCTGAGACAAAGATGACGTCATTGAAATTCACCGCAAAGTCATAATGCACTGAGTGGAATCGAAAGTGCAGGGTTCTCAAGTACTACGGAACGTCCGTAGTTTAAATACAGAAATTCGGCCCAAATTACAGACGTACGGAAATATAGATAAATACTAAGGAAATACATATAAACTACGGAAAATTACAATAGAGCCTATATTTATGGGAAAGCCCCAACATTTCACGATAATTCATAAAGTAAAATCAACGATCCACTCCACGTACGAGTTAAAAATACGTAACAGTCTGCTAGCTCAAACAAAAGCAAGCAGAACAATACAAGCAGTGGTGTGGTGAGCGTGATGGCCAATCAGAATCGTGTTTAGAGCAAGAAGTCATGACCTTATATTATGCAAAAACTTTTTCGATGCTAAAAATAACAGTCTACTCAATTTGCATTGCAACAACAAACAGCAAGCTAAACGATGACATCATAGCAATGTGCGTGGTGGCCAGATTC